AATGAACGTGTGTGTACAAACGTGTAGGCTGTGGGCGTTCTCTTTTATCACGCCTTTTCAAAGCCGGTCTAAGTCAATTAGCGCAGGTAAAGGTAAACACCTCCTTGTGTAGCCCAAGTTAATCATCACCAATCTAGACAAGTTTAGTGTAGTTCAAATTATTACTACTTTTTGAAGAAATGTGTGTGTGTGTGTGTGTGTGTGTGTGTGTGTGTGTGTGTGTGTGTGTGTGTGTGTGTGTGTGTGTGTGTGTGTGATAATAATAATAATAATAATAATAATAATAATAAACGGTTTATTAATAGAGTTGCAGCCGGTGGCTGAAAATATACAGAATTACATTTAATTTAGACATAATGATATAATATGCATTGAATACATTTACAGGGCTGTACAGTACATAAATCAGGAGTTGTTTATTATTTTAACAATAGATGGGATGGTGCTGTTCTTATATCTATCGGTGCGGGCTCTTATGGGCTGAATTTTGTTGTAGTGGCAGACTGCGCGTGGTGGGTGGGGGGCTGCCGGTGGCAGGAGGTGGCGATGACGAGGGTGGTGCATTAGTTGGCTGCCAAACCTTTCCAGTGCTTGGTGGTGGAGGTCACTGAGGTGTGTGTGTGTGTGTGTGTGTGTGTGTGTTTACTTCTAGCATATATTTACGTGTTTTAAAGTCACACTCAACCTTCCGTACACCAGGAGGCAAAAACAAGACCGACACTGTACCTGAACACCTTCCCTTTCTCAACCGTGAAGTTAGGTACCCACTTAAAGCTATTGATGGACTTGAAGGTGTTGTGAGTTCGAACCAACGACCTTTAGGATAGGAACCGAGCGTTTTACTCACTCGGCCGCTGCATCAACCCCCCCCCCAAAAAAAAATGGTTTACTATTTAATACAGAGAAATTATCCTATATTTTTCACTGTTACTGTAAATCTTCACTATAATACGAACAAGGATAACATACTGCTCTAAGGGAACTATTGTGAAGTTATCGGCAGGTGGTGTTTATCAGTACAATATCATAGTGACAATAAACAATATTTTCCGAGAATATATGTGAGTTTCGCAGCGCAGATGATCACGTGTTAATCCCGTTGTTATACTTGTGTGTGTGAGAGAGAATGAAAGGCGGAAGAGATACCCTATCATCGTTATCTATGTGTGTACAGTATGTTGTTTGGGTGGAGAGGAAGGGTATGTGTGTGTGTGTGTGTGTGTGTGTGTGTGTGTGTGTGTGTGTGTGTGTGTGTGACGACGTAGCAGAGAGTGTTTGCCACCACTTCAAACATCCGCCAGCCCACAGGTTTGTCACGGTGGTCGGGTAAAGGGCGCCACCAACGACTGAACCTGCAGGACCTGGTGTTGGGAGAGGCGGTGTGTTCCTGGTCTCTCTGTTGTACCTGTGTATCCAGGACCTGTGTACACCTGTGTAATAATGTCCCATGTGTACCTGTGTGCCCATGGTGTGTGTGTGTGTACCTTTGTGGTGGCAAGGTGTTGTGGCAAGGACTTCTGTGTACCTGTTGCACCTCTTTATGCCTGGCTTGTGTGTACCTGTTGCACCTCTTTATGCCTGGCTTGTGTGTACTAGTGATCTCCGTGTAATAATGACATCATTGTACGTGTGTCTCCGTGTCGAGTGTACCTTACTGAGGAGGTGTAGTGTGTCGGTGGGGCTGGCCTCACTAACCTACATTGCCCTGTTGAGATTCTTACCTCAGTAAACCCTAACACACGAGTGTGATCACGACCCCTTGGTGTGATCACGACCCCTTGGTGTGATCACGACCCCTTGGTGTGATCACGACCCCTTGGTGTGATCACGACTCCTTGGTGTGATCACGACCCCTTGGTGTGATCACGACCCCTTGGTGTGATCACGACCCTTGGTGTGATCACGACCCCTTGGCGTGATCACGACCCCTTGGTGTGATCATCACGATTTTCTTTGCGTGATCACGACCCTTTGCGTGATCACGACCCATTTATGTGAACACGACCCCTGGCATGATCACGACCTCGACCCCTTTGGTGTGACTACGACCCTTGGTGTGATCACGACCCTGGGGTGATCACGATTCCCCTGCGTGATCACGACCCTTGCGTGATCACGACCCCTGGTGTGATCACGACCCCTTGCGTGATCACACCCCTGTGCATCACGACCCCTGTGATCACGACCCTGGTGTGACTGATGACCCCTGGTGATCACAACCCCTGGTGAACACGACCCCTGGTGTGATCACGACCCTTTGGTGCAACACAACCCCTTGGTGATCACGACCCCTGGTGTTTTTGTGTGTGGTTTTTTACCGAGAAAACCTGGAGATATTCCCTTGAGGTTACATGACAATCACCATATCTCCTGACCCAAGGAGTTAAAAAACAAGGTGTTTGTTAGCATACAGCTGCCGGCCAAGATGGTGGGGGTGTTATGGAAGGGGGGGCGGAAAGGCTGGGCCTGTTATGAGACAGGTGGCACATAATATCAGGATAATTAGTCTCACAGGCAATTAATTAGGTGCCAGTGCACAATGGGAAACCAAGCAAATCTGAGTCGTGTGTGTGTGTGTGTGTGTGTGTGTGTGTGTGTGTGTGTGTGTGTGTGTGTGTGTGTGTTCAGCGTTACCAGAGAAGTTTAAAGGTCACCAGGCATCACCAAACGTCACCACCATCACCAGACATCATCAAGCACCACCTTTTCACCACCACACCATCAAACATCACCAGACACCATCACCACACACCATCAAGCATCACCAAACATCATTAAACATCACCAGACATGATCACGGCGCCTCTGTTGCACTACTTCCTGGTCACGTCCAGAAAGTGGACGTCCGGGTGGGGGGGGGAGGGAGGTGGGGGGGTGAGGAAGGGAGGGAGGGTGGTGGGTGAGGGGAAGGAGGAGATGCACCAGGTAACGGAGCTGTTGATTTTTATTTATTTTTTTTTTTGCCACCAAAATAAGAGATGAGCCGTCAAGAGTGTGTGTGTGTGTGTGTGTGTGTGTGTGTGTGTGTGTGTGTGTGTGTGTGTGTGTGTGTGTGTGTGTGTGTGTGTGTGTGTGTGTGTGTGTGTGTGTGTGTTATCACTAGGATGTTATTACTACAATCAATCAATACAATGCCGGTTGTATCTACTGATGATATTATTATTATATATTATTATTATTATTATTATTAAGGTAAGATCGTTTTCAGTTCTCTGATTGGCTAACCTTTGTTGATCTTTGCGTCAGGTGATTATAGGTGAGACGATGTGCCGGAAGGTGTATAATTGTGGTGCTGATAGATGATGTCAGAAGGTGTCAAGGCTAGGTGTCAGACTGATGAGGGGTGTCGTCTATACACGGTGTCAGACCACGATGTTGTGTCAGGCTCGGGTATGATAAAGGAACTTGAAACAAAAATCTTCTTCAAATAAAAAAAAAAACTTGGATTGGTTTATTTTATGTAATTTTGTACTCTGTAAAATGTTTGAGTACAATGACGGTCTCTTGAGTACATTTGATTTGACTTATTCGTGTTATTTTTAGGTGGAGAGTCGAGGTGTGTGTGTGTGTGTGTGTGTGTGTGTGTGTGTGTGTGTGTGTGTGTGTGTGTGTGTGTGTGTGTGTGTGTGTGTGTGTGTGTGTGTGTGTGTGTGTGTGTGTGTTAGGAGACGTCTTGGATCACGTTACTGCTCACACTTTTATTCGATTGCAAGTAATTATGGAGCCTCAATATAACACTTTACACTTAACTGTTTTATCTCACACTGAAAATATATTGGGTGATAATGGGTCATGATATACCAGAGAGAGAGAGAGAGAGAGAGAGAGAGAGAGAGAGAGAGAGAGAGAGAGAGAAAAGAAGTTTAAGTACATAGAAAACTCGTTCCACATTAAGAAGTCCACCAAACACACGTCCACCTGCTCACCACACTACACAAGAGCACGTTTCTGTACGAGAGAGAGAGAGAGAGAGAGAGAGAGAGAGAGAGAGAGAGGAACACTTGATTACTTTCTTCCTTTACTTCACCTGATCTATCTGAACGGGGGTGAGTGGTTGTGAAAGCGCCTCCTGGTTCCGTGCCTGTTTGGTTGCTTGCTTACCTGCCTGTAGGGGTAATGAGTGAAGGTGGTTGATGGCTGGTGATCATGGGTTAGGTGTTGTTATTGTTGTTGTGACGTGCCAGGTTTTGTTTGTTATTGTTTACATGCCCCATGGTCCCCTTTTTATTGTTTACATGCCCCCATGGCCCTTCCATCCGTGCTCGTTAGGTACCGTAGAAAGTTATTGGTCTGTTTAAAAGTCAGATGCCAATAAAGTCTCTGTTTCGCGTACAGGAAAGATTATTTACTTCACCCACAAGAAAACTTCATGACACCACCAACCCTCATCTCTCACCAGCTGTTGAGGGCGCCTGGAGGTAAGACTGAGGGCCTCCAGGTGACCTGTGTGGTGTGGTGTGCACTAATTGTTGACACCTGCTTCTCTCACTCGTGGTGGTGGCTGGTAGGTGGCCAGGTAGAGTTGAGGGTGTTTCCTCACCTCCTTCTTCTGATTGTCATCATAATTAATAGTATCATTATGTCACCGGCATAATAGTAAATTATTATTATTATTATTATTATTATTATTATTATTATTATTATTATTATTTTTATTATTATTATTATTATTATTATCATTATTCTTATTATTTCTACTCAGCCACCACACACACACACACACACACACACACAATACGTGACTTGGACGTACAAGTGAGGCTCGAATAATTTAAATCTGAGTTTCTAAATCTCTAAGTGACGTGTGAGAACTAAGTGTGTGTGTGTGTGTGTGTGTGTGCATAAAAACGCCAGTGAAGCAGTAATGATATAATAATTTTTGCTGTTTATATGGTGACAGTGCAGGGAGGTGAGGGAAGGGGGGGTGTTATGAGTAGGGTGGTGGTGGTGGCCTGGTGAGGGTCCGGCCTGGCGACGGGGCTCATTCTGGCGCTTGCCACCGTAGAGGAAGGTCGCGTCACCTGGTCAGTGCGCGCCACACCTGCCTTGCGTCGTTGTGTCCACACCTGGCCGACACAGCCGTCCCCAACACTCAGAGTGTGGACCGACCCGTGTTCGGATACCCCCGGTCACCTTGGATTACTTCAAGAATTTGGATTTGTCAGTGTTTACCAAACTTAGTGAGAGAATTATCGTGGTGTTCAGTGAAGTGATCTGATCGTCTCTGTGTTCGTGCAAATTGAAAATGTAACCTTGCAGTTGCAGATATGAGCTATGAGTATGTGTTAAGGCTCTACTAGTGTGTTCTGATATGGTTCTTGTGTCGTGTTTTATGCCAGATATAAATATGTCTCGTGATAAGGATGTTTACACCAGATGTAAACACGAGAAACAGAGTGAAGAAGAGTTGGGAAGCGGTGCCACATTAGGTCTCACGCTTGTTACTACTGCCTGTGTTGTTACCCGAGTGTTTAGGTGCCACGTGTGTCATGGAGTGCCACCTAACACCTACCCTCCCCGTGTGTGTGTGTGTGTGTGTGTGTGTGTGTGTGTGTGTGTGTGTGTGTGTTCCCATCTCCTGTACCTGTCTCCCCCTTTCCCTCCGCCACTGGCAGTGCCAACACCTGTTGTCTGACATCCGTTGTCTACACCTGTGTATGTGCAGTATGTATGTATGTATGTATGTATGTATGTATGTATGTACAGTATGTATGTATAATACATGTGTGTGGATGTATGTATGTGCACATTGTGTTTTTGAAATTTATGACATAACTGCACATGTATTTACATTTTATTGAAACATATATATATATATATATATATATATATATATATATATATATATATATATATATATATATATATATATATATATTTGCACACACATTCTGTTACTTTGTACAGGTGTGGTGTGGTGGTGTGGTGAGGTGTGGTGTGGTGGAGGTGTGTGTGGGTGAGGTGTGGTGTGGTTTGGTGAGGTGTGTGGTGGTGGGAGGTGTGGTGTGGTGGTGTGGTGAGGTGGGTGTGGTGTGGTGGTGTGGTGTGGTGTGGTGAGGTGTGGTGTGGTGTGGTGTGTTCAACATTCGCCACGTAAGGTGTATTGGGAGGGAGTGGCGACCCCCACCACCACCCTTAGAAAAAAGAGGGTTGGTCCTGTTGACATTAAACCTTGTTGAGCTGCTACCGTCACGACCACTTGCTTTTACCTCCTGGTGGACGTGTGTAGACCAGTGACCAACTTTGGACATGTGTGTGTAGACCAGTGACCAACTTTGGACATGTGTGTGTAGACCAGTGACCAACTTTGGACATGTGTGTGTAGACCAGTGACCAACTTTGGACATGTGTGTGTAGACCAGTGACCAACTTTGGACATGTGTGTGTGTGAGACAGCACTAACCACATGTGTGTAGACCAGTGGACCAACTTGGATATGTGTGTAGACCAGTGACCAACTTGGACATGCAGTGGTGATTCAAAGTGACCAACTTTGGACATGTGTGTGTGAGACCAGTGACCAACTTGACATGTGTGTGTGTGGCACCAGTGACCAACTTTTGGAGACATGGGGTGTAGACCAGTGACCAACTTTGGACATGTGTGTGTAGACCAGTGACCAACTTTGGACATGTGTGTGTAGACCAGTGACCAACTTTGGACATGTGTGTGTAGACCAGTGACCAACTTTGGACATGTGTGTGTAGACCAGTGACCAACTTTGGACATGTGTGTGTAGACCAGTGACCAACTTTGGACATGTGTGTGTAGACCAGTGACCAACTTTGGACATGTGTGTGTAGACCAGTGACCAACTTTGGACATGTGTGTGTAGACCAGTGACCAACTTTGGACATGTGTGTGTATGGGGAAGAAAGTATTGCCTGTACGCGAGAAAGTAAGCATATCGTGTACGTGGGAAAGTAAGCATATCGTGTACGTGGGAAAGAAAGCATATCGTGTACGTGGTGAATGACGCGTTGCCTGTACGTGGGGCTAGAACAGACAATGGGATTCCTTGTCCTTATTTAGTGTAGGACTTTGCCACTGTGTGTGTTTGTGTGTGTGTGTGTCGAGTTAAGAAAGCTGTACGAGTGAGTTCTTGTATGTACTTGGGTTAGAACTCCCTGTGTGTACGTGAATGGACGTAAATAAGGACTTCTTGTGTGTAAGTGGACAAAGGATTCCATGTGTACATGAATAACTCCTCCCTGTGTGTACGTGAATAAATCCTCCCTTTATGTACGTGAATAAGTCCTCCCTGTGTGTACGTGAATAATTCCTCCTTGTGTGTACGTGAATAGAAGACCGCAAACAAATAACAGGTAGAAAGGCTGAACTGACCTTGACTCTTTGGCGAAATCCTTATAAAAACAGACCATATAAACTACTGCGGCCCTGGATGATGTGGCACAGACGAACTTAAGCTCTATTGAACACAAGAACATAGAGGGCTGAGGTAAATGGTAGAGTTTAGTTAATGGGGAGAAATGGAATCGAGTTTTGTGTGACCAGTGACTGAATTGAGGGGAGGGGGGTGTTGTTGGACCTGATCCCCGGCTCTTTTTACATGGTGTTATTGAGGGTGGGGGGGCAAGCAGGATCGTAATTATGGTAGGGATGGTTGGTAGGAGGGGGGTTGGTACTGTCGTGGGTAGGGTAGGTAGGCAGCCTGGAGGACCAGCTACCCCCTGGGGGCAGCCAATCCACTGCTCGCTCACCTGGTTCCTCTCCTCCCTCCCCCTCCTTCCCCTGACTCTACTCTCAGGTTAACTGGACTGTACCTGATTCCCTGACATTCTTTTCCTCCCTCACTCAACCTCACCCCAGTTCTTTTCCAATCCGAGAGAGAGAGAGAGAGAAGAGAGAGAGAGAGAGAGAGAGAGAGAGAGAGAGAGAGAGAGAGACAATACGTTAATAATATATCCATCATGAACACAGTAGTTATACAGTAAACACACAACTAAAGAAACATTATAAACAAGTAGGTTAAGTGAGAGCCACGGGCCTGTCAGCTGATATAACCTGACATCATGGCTGATAAGGAAGGGTATTTAAGCCTTTATTTTATCAGTATTGACTATTTGTGTTATCTATGACTCTTTGTATACATTAAATAATATATAACATTAATCGTTATTAATATATACTACTACTACTACTACTACTACTACTACTAATAATAATAATAATAATAATAATAATAATAATAAATAACTTAGCACTAACTCCCTTTAAGTATGAACAACAACACTACCTTGATCCAACAGACAAACATTAACAGAAAGCAAAATACCACGAAATGAATGAACACAAAAGTCAACCATAATAAGCAGTGCGACTTTCCGGTGCCGGGCCTGGCGGGCATTCGTTCGCTTAGCCTGCAGGGAGGGAAGGTAGGAGGAGGGAGGAAGTAGAGTGATTACTACTAAGGACCAGGTACTTCCTCCTTCCCTCTCTCCCCTTCCTCACCCCTCCTTTCGTTCCCTCCTTCCCTCCCTCCCTCCCTATGGTTTACCACACAAGCTAAATAGGTTTGTTGTGGCTGGGGGCTGTGGGTGTGGTGGGGGCTGTGTGGGTGTGGTGGGGGCTGTGTGTGTGGGTGTGGGGGACATGTGTGTGGTGGTGATGGGGTGGGGGGCTGTGGGTGTGTGGTGGGGGATGTGTGTGTGGGTGTGGTGGGGGCTGTGTGGGTGTGGTGGGGGCTGTGTGTGTGGGTGTGTGCATTACCGTACACCGACTTACTCACTTCACCTGTTAATTATATTTTTTTTATATATACTTACTGTTTTATTTACTGATTAATGTATATATTTAGTCATATATATTGACTATTTGTATCCTGGTGTGGGAGTGCCGTGGGAAGGCCAGTGTCTGACTCATGCCTTGTGTGGTGGGGGCGTGTTTGGTGTTGTTGTGGGGGTGATAGGTGGTGGCGGTGGGTTGTTATGGTGGTAGTGGGTTACTATGGGTGGCCTGGGGTGGTGGGCGGGGAAGGGGTACTACCAGTCTCCCGCCCACCACCACTACCTGTACCTAGCACCTGGTCACCTGACCTTGTTTCCCCAGGACTTGTATCCCCATCCTTCACCTTCTATGCAACACACACACACACGCACACACACACACACACACACACACACACGCACACACACACACACACACACTGTAACTATCCAGTGTCCTCGGTAAGTCATTTGCTGTATGGTTTACCTTCCTCTACTCAATCTCTGTGGACCACCCTAATTCCTCTGGCCCTCTCTCTGATTTGGTATTGTCTTTTATTATTTGAACATTGTTTAATACTATGGACAGGTGGTGACGGTTACAGCAATGAGGGGGGCGGTAAGAGGCGTGGTGGTGGTGGGGGGGCGGTGGGGAGGGCGGTAAGAGGCGTGGTGGTGGGGGGGCGGGTAAGAGGCGTGCTGGTGGGGGGGGGCGTGGTGGTGGTGGGGGGGCGGGTAAGAGGCGGCAGGGGGGGGGGCGGGAGGCGGGGTTGGGGGGCGTGGTAAGAGGCTTGGTGGTGGGGGGCGTGGGTAAGGAGGCGGCGGGTGGGGGGAAGTGGCAAGAGGCGCAGCCAGAATCTAACCAGATCTTAAGAGAGCTGATCCATCACTTCTGGGGAGAGAACGACTATATGTCATGTGATTTCTTCCATGTTGCCTTGGGTTTAAGTGAATCCGAATTTCCATACTCAGATAGTGATTCCTATAAGCCTGACGGTGATGGGAGAGGGGAGGATGGTGTGGTGGGAGGAGAGTGGGAAGAGATGTGGGTGAGGGAAAGGAGAGGGGAACGAGGACAGGGGAGGAGGAGGGATAAAGGCCTAGGGAAGTGGAGGGGTTGATGTCGTAAGATGTGTTGTGATGGAGCCAGGTGTGTGTGATCCAGACGACAGGTGTGGGTGTGTGGGGGGTGGGGGGAGCAGGTGTTGGTGTAGTGTGGGTGTTATGGTGGTGGGGGAGGTGTTGCAGGGGCGATGAACGGTCCTAGTTGACACATGTTGTTGGCCTTATAAACAAGACTTGTATTTACCGTCAGGGCTGGGCTGAGTCACACACACGCACACACACACACACACACACACGCACACACACACACACACACACACTATTATGAGTTGGGCCTTGAAATTAATGAGGCCACATATCCCCGAGACGCTTGGAATTGCTGTAGGGATTATTGTATTTTTCTCTGAGAATAAATTTGGTAACAAAAGAAATAATTTCCGTGTTTTTTTGTGTTATTCTTTTGTTCGTCTTTGTTTGTATTGTCTGTGTTTTTTTTGTTTTTTTTTTCACCACTAGACAGACTCGGGTGGTTCAAACATATTATTAAAATGATTCAGTCAACGATGATAGCTTCAGTCCGGTGTTCATATTGAGTCGAGATCGTTTATATCACAACCTCGAGACGGTTCGGAAAAATATATGTCATTTCGAGGCGTGACAAGTAGATCTATTGTATATAAAACCTGTATATATATGGTGGATATATCATTTATAACCGAGGTATGTTGGTATATATAACAGAACCACATTAGTATAGGAGTCAACACCGCTTCATAATTATCTCGAACAGAAAATTATAAACACCGACGTCTCATTTACCTTTTTTTGACGCGTGTTGCTTAATAATAAATGTTGTTACTGAATTATTGTAACTTTGTGTTTAATGTGATGATGATGGTGGTGATGGTGGTGGTGGTGGTGGTGATCACAAACTTCATGTAATTCAAGTGACGTTATAATTAATGGTGTCAGAAAAGATCAAGTAATTTGGGGTGACTTTGTTCTACACTTGTACAACCTATAAATAATATACTATAATAAACAAGGGGTCTGTAGCTGTTTATGGGGTTAAAATTGTTGTATATTTTCACAAAGTTTAATAAATCGTGTAATTAATGGAGTCAAGGAATATTAATTGATTTTTTTAGAGGTAAAATTTGTTTTTGTTTATTTTTACAAACTTACTTGTAATAACATGATGTAGACGTTAATAATAAAGAGTCGGGATAATGTGTTCTGTTGCATGAGCTCCTGCATAATGCTGTTGTTGTTGTTGTAGATATGTCAGCTGTCTGGGGTTATTAAGTGAGATTAAAAATATTTATTCGGAAAAAATCAATTACGGGAAATTTATTCGTAAACTTGAATTTGGTGCCTCAGTCTGTGTATGATAAAACATAGACACCAGGTAGCCTTTATTGTAGGTACTAAGGAGGTCCTTTATAGCTCATGTTAACAGTAGCTGGTGTATGTTGGAGGTACACGCTGTCATTAAGGTTAGGAGTTGTGTGGCAGCACGGAGGCGATTATAGCACACGGAGTCAACAAGTTTATTGTGTGTATTAAAGGTTGGGATTGTGTATGGTAAGAGGCGGTATAGCAGAGGGTGCCACAGATACACAGCGTGTATTGAAGAGGTAGAATTGTTGTGTTTCTTGAGACCTTCGTGTGTTAACAATAGTTGGTACGGCGTCATCGACTGCCATAAAAGACTGTGTTATCTGGCGTCACTGAATGGCGCCCTGTTGTGTCAGTGAAATTGCGCCCCCCCCACACACAGGGAGGCGCCGATCCACCTGGTGTCTGGTCCCGTTGGTGCAGCAGGAGGAGAAGAAGAAGGCCTCTCAGATATGATGGTGGTGATGATGGCTTCGTCCTGATGTGTCTCAGCCCTCGCTCCCTCCTCCTCCTCCTTACCCACCTGCTGCTCCTCCTGCTGTTTGCCGCCACACAACTCACCAGGGACCTTGCCACCGAGGAAACAGCCAGCAGGCCACGGGCTCCCAGTCTCACACCTGTATTTTCCTCCAGATTACAGATGTAAGCATGTATCTCACAGGGCTGCATTAGGCTGCAATTGCGACAAAAATGTCTAACGAAATTGCACTGACATTCCATGACAGTTATTTTCTCTCTTTTTGCTGAGACACGAGACTGGAATATTGACGTGCGACTGTCATGACTATTGAGATGTGTGGGTGAGATGATCAAGGGAGGAGAGTATTAGTGAGAGACGGACGAGGAGCTGGAGTGTCTGGGAGGCTAGGAGGAGGTGTGAGCCGAGGGTGATGTTGTAGAGGCACCTGGGAGTGTAGGGAAGCAGAGGAGACGATAGTGTAAAGGGAATGATGGGGGGAGGAGGGGGTGAGGGACAGATATGATAAGATTTGATAAAATGTGATAATGGAGAGAAAATAGCTGTGGTATTTGGTCAGGGTGATGACAATGGGCGTGAGATAAGCGTGCAGTGTTGCTGGTGTGTGTGGCCGCGTCACGTTACACCCGGTACCTAACACGGCCGCCCGACACCCTGGGCGCTGGCTGGCCAGTCATAAAGACAGTTTAAATCGTAATAGAAAGTGAAACAAGTTGTGTGGAAAATGAAACTAGATCGATGTAAAGATATTTCTCTCTCTTTAGATAGTATATTAGAGTTGGAGGGAGGGAGCAAGTGTAGAGGAGGGTGGAGCATGACGCCTGTGGTGGCTTATGAGCGAGGGGCGTCCCACCTGGACCTGCACCCCAGGGAGCCCCTGCAGGATTACTTTAGGCCCTCCCGTAACGCCTCCCACTACGAAGGTCATGTATCACCCCGCCGTAGGAGCTACCAGGACGAATCTTCTAATTACTTCGTCAGGACGGGGAGGTCGTCTGCCCGCTCCCATGACCCTCCCCGGAGGGCCAAGTCCTCCGTCGCCTTGAGGCCCTCAGAGTTTTTGCGAGCTCGGGACTTTCGCGAGACTCTGAACTCTTGTGGACGTGAAGGAGACGACTCATGGGCGTGGGAACCCTTCAGTGTCAGGGAGGCCCTGGAAGGCCCCCATGTGCCCTTCAGGTTCTGCCCGTCCCTCGCCGCCTGCCACATCCCCCGCGCCTCCGTCAGGATATCCCGAAAGTCATCATCCAGGTACAGTAACTGATAATTTGTGTGTGTGTGTGTGTGTGTGTGTGTGTGCGTGTGCCGCCTTCTAACGTTCATAAGCCAACTTAATCATTGTACACAATAGGTTGGAGACGAGGTAGGTGTTGTGTGCCCTAAAACTCCCTCCACTCTTGACCTTGTATCTGGTACAGTAGTACTCGTAAGACCAGGTATGTTGTACTTGACCCACAAGGTCGTGCCTAGTCCTCAGAGATCAACCTGTTTGGCATTTGACCCCCCACCCACCCACTCATCCACCCACACAGACACCCGCTCTTCCTCTCTTCAACAGCCACAGTGGAGGTGATGGGAGTATTAACTGAGCTCTCAAGATTACAGTAGAACTTTCCTCGCCATAATTATTTTGTTGGCGACCTGGTGACACCAATGAGTTAAGGAGTCGGTGAACCTGGTGACACATTACCACCTAATCAAGATGATGGTAATGAGGCAGGTAGACACACAGCCAACACCTGGTTATCAATGTGAAAGTCCTTTACTTGGGAGATAACACACAACTCTCTTGAAGTACTGTATACCTGGAGTCTTACCAAGTCCTCACTTCCTCCCTCTCACCTGGGTAATCCACCATCATTTAACAATTAACCTTTAATTGGGTGTGCGTCACAGGTAACAGATGGCTCTGTACACCTGATACACCCGGGCCAAGACACGCCGGCAGGTGATGATTAAACAATACAATTACACGTTATAATGATTGTATCGCGGCGACCAAGCTAACGGCATCTGTAATTATGTTGACATGATCATAATCCATTACAGTCCACCAGGAAGCTAACTGTTTATAATGAGGTCCAGTTTAGACCATCGTGGGATTTAATATATTTACAGTATATTACAGTATGTTATCGTAGGGGCCCCCGTCCACTAGGTACGGCTCTACACTCACCGCGACAACACTACCCGGGCGAGACACTACTGGGAGGACCTTCACTTTGAGCCGTTGTGAAAACCATCAGTAATTAGTCGAATATTTTGTATGTTTACTAAGACCGTTTGTTAGTTTACCTGTGACTGTGTGTGTCCTTGTCTGTCTACCTGTCCATTAAGTGTTTGTCTGTCTACCTGTCCATTAAGTGTTTGTCTCTCTACCTGTCCACTAAGTGTTTGTCTCTACCTGTCCATTAAGTGTTTGTCTGTCTACCTGTCCACTGTTTCTCTACCTCAGCCACCTCTTTCCCTTAGGTTTACAGTACAGTTGTTAACTCAGCGGTGTGTTACTTATAGTTTGTCTCGGGAAGAACTAAAGTTGTATATTGGAAGCTTATTGAGTTTGTGGTATATAATGTTGACGTTTCATTTTGGCGAAGTTCCTTAAATTCCCTGATGATGTTTGTTGTGTTGCGTGTATGGTCGTGCGTGTAATAATAATAATATATAATAATAATTAACGGTTTATTGAAGGCTTGGCAGCCAGAAGGTGAAATATACTGATTATGTTGGGGAATGGGTTACGAATTTAAAATAATACAAGTGACATATATGGCTAAATAAGACTATATTGCAACTTAGATGGGGATCAGCTCAAAGCCTGATTCATTTCAACATAGTGACAGCGTAGGGAGCAGTGTTTACTGGGAGTGAATACACTGGTTTATTACATGTTATTGATAATTTTTACAATGGTTGGGACTGGGCTGTTCTTATAGCGATCAGTTCGTGCACGTATGGGCTGGATGCGGTTGTGGTGTCGAACAGCAATTCTCGGACAGGGGATCTCAGGTGGTAGTAGGGGCCGGTGTCGGGGATGGTGTAGAAGCTTCTTACCAAATTTGCAGATGAGGCCGTGGTGATGGTCAGTGAGAGTCGAAAGGGTCAGTGTGGTGAGCGCTTCTTGATATGTGGAGTAGGAAGGGAGAGAATAATCTTGCATGCCCTCTTTTTGCACTTTGTCTAGGTGTTTACGTTGTGTGGCATTTAGGGAGGAAGACCAGGTGGGGGAGGCATAGGTGAGCTTGGGAAGTATGAATGTTGTGTAAACACTGAGGAGCTCGGGCGCAGGAACTCCGAGGGACTTGAGTCAGCGGAGGAGGTGGAGACGGAAACTGGAGGATTTGACAACTTCACTGACGTGTGGTTTCCAATTTAGTTTGTTGTCTATGGTGACGTCGAGGAGCTTCATTAGATCTGACGCCGCCTGTATAAGATGTATGGTTGGGTGACTGTCGTTGTGTGACGGTGATGTAGAGTGCGTGGATGTACGACACGCGAGTTGTGTGTTGATTGGGCTGAAGGTCAGGTACTTTAATCATCAGGTGAAATAAACCGGGGTGTCTAATCTTCACGTGATCCTAGACAGGTTTCCATAAGCGGATGCAACACAGGAGTCAAGTCGTTCCTAGTTAAGTTTGGGAAGGGAGAATTGTGGTACATTTCTCTACCTGACGTTTTTACCTGTTGGTGACCCCTCCCCCCCCTCCTCCCTCTAATAACTCGAATTCGTTCTGCCTCCTGGCTTTCCGAGTGACCAACTGATCACGTGTCATAGGTAGGAAGGTAACCTTTCCGACGATCGGGTACACCTGTTGATGAACACTTGTGAAGAGGTTACACCTGCACTGAGCACACACATACACACACCTGTGGATATAAGAGTGAGAGGGTTATTGGTGCGGTGGGATGGTAGATGTTGGGTGCGTGAGGTTGTGGTGGTAACTGTGGTAATGTGGTTGTGGTGGTGGTTGTGGTGAGGGATTTAGGTAGTTGGGGTGGTAAGTGTGGTGGTGACTGCGGTGGTCTGTGTGAGGTGTTCCGGGTAGGTGGAGTACGGCTCGTGTGTATCTTGGAGGCAACCTGTCTTCAGGAGGTATTGGGGGCGGTGAGGGACGCTTGTTGGTGTATCCTGGACACGAGCATCCTGTAGGAAGCAGGAAAATAAGCACCGGTGTTGGGCGCCGCGGGAGATACCGGAACAATCGACAATACTTGAGGTGAACCAGACGAACAGGTGGTAATAAATATTGTCTTGGGGACCAGTAGCGGCTCTTGATCACACACACACACACACACACACACACACACACACACACACACACACACACACACACACACACACACACACACACACACACACACACACACACACACACACTGGTAAATGTCACTTGACAGGTGTGTGGCGTCGACCTTGGGACAGGTGTGGTTGTAGAGTGTAAACGAAGCTAAGACGCCCTCCCCCCTCAGAGACAATGGTTCACGTAGGGAATATGTTCACAAATCTGAAACACAGTGTAAGTTTCCAGGTGTGAGGAGGTGAGTTGAGGGAGTGTGACCCTAAAGAGCCAAGTCGAGAAGCGTGTGAGACATTAACAGCGAAAGTGTAGAAAATCTGGTTAAGTGAACAGGTCAGACGGGGCCTCCACCGCTAGTAGTAGAGAGTAGAAGTGTCACTTAAGTTTCCCACGGTGTTAGGGAGGGCAGTGATGGAGGGTAGAAGGGGTCAGTGTGGGCATAAGGCAGACGTGTGTGTGTGTGAGCGAGACGCACCAAGTAAGGGGTCGGGCCTGGTGGCGAGGGAGGAGCTGTTGACTGTGCGTGAGGGGCGGTGGTGGTCCAGCACTAGTAAGCCTTGAAGTACCGTTGAGGCCGCCTCTGCCCCCCTGCTGCTGCTGCCTCAACCTTACCTCTACCCCCTCACCCTGTTGGCCTCCCGTACACTCATGACTCAACGGTGCTGTTCATCAACTCATCATCGTAGGGGTGTCCATCGTGACCTCGTTAGCCTGTTCCAAGGGAGGTACCTCAGCCTCGTACCTCAACTGTTGATGTCACTTACCCTATCACCCTATGGAAGACCTGCGTCACCCCCCCAACTGTATATTACACCCCTCCCCATCTCCCTTCTCACTCCCCCCCCCATCTCCTTCTCCCCCATCTCCCTCTCCTCCCCTCCATCTCCTTCTCCTCCTCCCCCCATCTCCTTCTCCTCCCCTCCCCCATCTCCCTTCTCCTCCCCTCCCCCATCTCCCTTCTCCTCCCCTCCCCTCTCCCTTCTCCTCCCCTCCCCCATCTCCTCCTCCTCCCCTCCCCCATCTCCCTTCTCCCCTCCCCCTCCCCCCATCCCCTCTCCCTCCCCCTTCTCCTCTCCTCCTCCCCCATCCCTTCTCTCCCCTCCCCTTCTCCCTTCTCCCCTCCCCATCTCCCTTCTCCTCCCCTCCCCATCTACCTTCCCTCCTCCCCATCTCCCTTCTCCTCCCCTCCTCTCCCCTTCTCCTCCCTCCCCCATCTCCCTTCTCCCCCCCCATCTCCTTTTCCTCCCTCCCCATCTCCCTTCTCCTCCCCCCTCCCCATCTCCCTTCTCCTCCCCTCCCCCATCTCCCTTCTCCTCCCCTCCGCCCATCTCCCTTCTCCTCCCCCCCATCTCCCTTCTCATCCCTCCTCCCCATCTCCCTTCTCCCTCCCCACCCTCCTTCTCCCCCCCCCCACTCCTTCTCCTCCCTCCCCTCCCCTCCTCTCGTGCGTCACGTTGGCCTCATTTAATCCTCACCCCCAGAAGGAGAAGGAGAGAACTTTAATCCCATTACAGGTGTAGTATACTGTTTATATCATATCACTCACAGTTACCCTTGTCATCTTCTCCCAAGCGACACATATAGCCAGTATTTTATCATATAAATTAAAACCAAACACTGTCTATTTAAGAATTTTTTTTAAGAACAATGTTCATACACACCATTATTGTTTATGTAGGAGGAAGTCGAGGAAGAGGGACATTCTGCTCGGCTACTCGTAACACAGGCGGCTCCGGTACAAGCTTATCACACCCACACGGTTCAATAACGGTAATCGGGGCAGCCACTATCAGTCTTCGTAGAGAACACCATTAACCTCATTATCAGGACACCCCTATGTTAGTCCAACCTATATCTGTGTTGACGCGCCTTTCCCCGTACCTTCCCTCATGCTTTACTAATTACGAACCTGTTGACACACACACGCATGTTGGTCGGGGTGGGGGGATCAGCTGCAGCCTGCGACAAGAGGAGTGCTTTAGCAATACAAGTTTGTTGTTGTAATGATAGTTTGGTGAGACTGGGTGGTGTTGACTGTTGGTTAGGGAGGTGGGTTTACAGGTAGAGTATAGGGGTTTACAGGTAGAGTATAGGGGTTTACAGGTAGAGTATAGGGGTTTACAGGTAGAGCACTGTATAAGGGTTTACAGGTAGAGGCGGTAGAGGTTAGGGAGGGATAGAAACTAAAAGGTAAACTTATCAAGATAGGTCAGGTAGATTACGGTAGCCATGACAGGTGAACACAGGTGAAACAGGCAAGTCGATGATGGCATGGCACTGTCAAGGCCTCTATGACACAATATTGACAGTGTTTCCATTAAACTTTTTTGTATATCACAGTAAGCGTACAATATGAAGTGAGGGTGTGTGGGGGAGATGGTGGAAGAGGGTAGGGGATGGTGTGGGAGGGTGGTGACACATGACCACGGGGGAGGGGGGTGGTAATAAGAACATAACAAAGGGGGAAACTGAAGGTAAAAATAATTAGTATTATTTTCTAGGCTCCTGTCTGTCCGTCCATTCATCTGTGTGTCTGTCTGTCCCTCTGTGTGTTTGTCCTGTCCTTTCCTCTGTATCTTGCGCTTGTGAGACCTCACTTGGATTACGCAGTTCAGTTCTGGTCACCGTACTACAGAATGGATATAGAATCCCTAGAAAGAATTCAGAGGAGAATGACAAGACTAATCCCGGGCATTAGGAACCTTGGGTATAGAGACAGGTTAAAGCATCTTAATTTACACTCCCTCGAGAGACGTAGAGTGAGGGGCGACATAATAGAGGTGTATAAGTGGAAGTCAGGGCTAAACAAACGTGATATAACAAAGGTACTCAAACTATCCAACCAGGAGCGAACTCGTAACAATGGTTTTAAATTTAACAAATTTAGATTTAGGCGTGAAATAGGTAAACATTGGTTTGGAAATAGAGTAGTGGATGAGTGGAACAAGTTACCAAATATCATCATTAACTCGAATACGCTGGATAGCTTCAAACATAGGTTGGATGCTTATATGAGCAATAGGGGTTGGGTGTAAACGGGACTGCCCAGTATGGCCCGCTGCAGTTTCCTCCATTCTTATGTTCTTACGCCTGTCTTGTCTGTTCGTACGTCACGCTCTCATTAACCTCTGATACTTTGCGTCACCCTGGATGGATCTTGGCTAAACTTGGTATTTAGGTTTGCTATCACTCAAGGAAGATGCCCATTGGTCCTCAGGTGTGTAGGTCAAAGGTCAAGGTCTCGTACCAGTCTTTCTTAAATGTCATACCTCCCACGCCGCCGCCCTAGGTGATGGCGTAATACAGGTGTGCTAGGAAATATACTGCTATGTACACTGTATGTTTCCTAGGACACTGATGATTGAAACTATTTAATTAGAATATAGTTTCAATACTTTAAATAGGATGAAACATGACTTCATTATTTCCTACGTAAGGGGTTCAGTCTTCTTTAGGGGAGGGAGCGAAGGGAGCTACTGGGGTGGGGGTGTAGGGGGAGGGGGGGGGTTGGGAGTGGAGTGTGGGTTTTGAATGTGATGGTCTCAGTCTACTATACCAGCCAGGTAGAGCGCCACAGGTGAGGGGCGGCCGGCCAGCTCGTGGACTTTCCCCGAGATTCTTGTTGGCCTTGAGTATTCGGAGCGGGCGTGTTGTTACCTGGCTACCTCACCTGCCCCCTTTATCACACCTGGGCTGGCTGGTGGTGATGACGGCCGCCTGGTGTATGTGTGGTGTGCTGCCTTTTAATGTAGGGTTATAATGATATGGTACTAATTATGGTAATCAAATTAATATTATTTTTTTATTATTACCTGATATCATTATTATTTGTTTTATTATTATAAGTAGTGGTAGCAACACAAGAACCCTCCGGTATCCTAAAAAAATAATCGTTCCAAAGTTTCTGATAGTTTACCAGAAATCATAATGTACAGTCGTCTGCACTTATACCTGCTACAGTAGCTAGTGCGTTTTGAGAGATGTGGCAACTCTGTGTTTGTTTATATTGTATTAAAACCTCTAGAATGACTCCTAAGGAATTTCGCAATAGTAGCCACACTAAGGATGCTAGATAAACATTCCACAGAGCTGCCACATCTCACAAAACGCACCAGCCACTGTACCAGGTATAAGTGCAGGCCGCTGTACATAATGTTATCTTAATTCTTAACATTAAAACTAAGGAAGTTGATAGAATTTTACATCTTAAGAGGGCACCAACGTAACCATGGTTTGTATTAGTGTTAGCTTAGGTAAGGTTTGGTTGTCATAGGTTAATTTGAGTTAATTTAAGTTAATATGGTTCAATTTGTTTGGGTTGGTATTAAGGTTAGGCAAGAGTCGCTTAGGTTAGGTTTAGTTGGATTAGGTGACGTGAGGTTAGGTCCTATTGAGACCGGGGCCCATTTGACCAGTCACCAATAACTTGTGTCTTTATCCCGTCACTGGACCCCACCCTGAGAGAGAGAGAGAGAGAGAGAGACGACTGGCTTTTTGCTACGTCCCCTCGCCCTCTGTTATAGGCCCTCTCTAGCTGGTCAAGGGCGAGGTGTGCGGCCGGTGAGCCCCAGGGGCTGTGGCGGGTCACGGGCTGCCTCGTTGTGATACAGATAACACGGTGTACTGTAGGAGTAAAGTACAGGGGTGTATATGTGTGTGTTCAGTGTCGGTGGGGGTGATGTAGGGGTGTTTTGGGCGGTGGGCGGTAGTCTTAGTGCATTTTCGACGCCATTTTACTCGATTAAGAGAACCATTTAGGTGCATTTTCACGTCACCAGATAGCGGGTGGGGGCGGGGTATATAATGTAGGGACCTTGAATAATTCTGACCTAGAATTTGTATTCTCAAAGAAACGTATATCTAGTAACTGTAAAAAACCTTATCTTGCTATACGTTAGATTCAGTGTGTATTATTTTCAACCATTTTTGGGGTCAGAATCTTCATCGTAACTCCAGTAAAGGGAGTTAAACTCGTTCTCACACCTCCAGCAAGGAGTTATGAAGAGTTAAGTGTGTGTGAAGTACTGTACAATTACCCAGGATCAAGGCGCTCCCGTTAATTAATTCAGGACAGGATGCAAATGCATTACAGGAGGATCTAAATAAACTGCAGGGGTGGTCTGAAAAATGGCAAATGAAATTCAACACCAGCAAGTGCAGCGTACTTAATATTGGAAGAACAAATACTTATAATGTATACAGCCTTAACAACATCAACCTAGAGAAGTCGACTTGTAAAAGAGACCGAGGGGTACTTGTAAGCCCGGACCTACGGCCTAGAAAACAGTGCGTTAATGTTCGAAATAAGGCAAACAGAGTACTGGGTTTTATATCTAGAAGTGTAAGTAACAAGAGTGCAGAGGTCTTATTGCAACTATATCTTGCGCTAGTCAGGCCACACCTCGATTATGCGGTTCAGTTCTGGTGCCCCTATTATAGAATGGATATAAATTCACTAGAGTCGGTGCAGCGAAGAATGACAAAAATGATTCCGGGAATTTGAAACCTTCCACATCAGGATAGGCTAAAGAAACTTAACTTGCATTCCCTAGAAAGACGAAGAGTGCGGGGAGATATGATAGAAGTATTTAAGTGGGTGAAAGGAATCAATAAAGGGGATATAGATAAAGTTCTTATAATATCCAGCAGGATAACTTTAAGCAACGGGATTCAAGTTGATAAGTTTAGGTTTAGGGAGGGAAGATATGTTAAACTGTTCCGCAACAGGGTGGTGGACGAGTGGAACAAGCTTAGCAACTTTGTAGTAAGTGCGGGAACTCTGGAAAGTTTCAAAAGGAGGCTAGATAGATTCATGGATGATAGAGAGTGGAAGTAACTCTCAACAGGAGCTGCCATGCACAGGCCAACCGGCCTATTGCAGACTCCTTATTTTCTTATGTTCTTATGTTAAGCATCCCACGTCCAATCTGGCACGACCCCAGCTGCCCGCCTTGTGAAACACCTGCCAGGGGGTGAGGTTAGCTGACGCTGCCAACGATGATGTAGCTACGGGCTCGGTGAGGAGTCTTGGTTTGTGGTGTTGTCGAGTAGAGCGGGGCAGAAATAAAATATATTCAGGGTTTTTTCAATACACTATTACTCGTAAGTAATGAATTGTGGGTAAAAAGAAATGTGAATCTTGTTAAGGAAAGTTGTTTAGATGCTTACGTAATAAAGGCAGCCGCTTGAAGTTATACTTAATAAAACTAACTATTGTATTTGACTTCCACGCACTAAAACCAACTATTGTATTTGACTTCCACGCACTAAAAACCAGCTATTGTATTTGACTTCCACGCACTAAAACCAACTATTGCATTTGACTTCCACGCACTAAAACCAACTATTGCATTTGCCTTCCACGAAATAAAACCAACTATTGCATTTGACTTCCACGCACTAAAACCAACTATTGCATTTGACTTCCACGCACTAAAACCAACTATTGCATTTGCCTTCCACGCAGTAAAACCAGCTTTTGAATTTGACTTCCACGAAATAACACCAGCTATTGTAATTGACTTCCACGCAGTAAAACCATCCAGTACATGAAACGGACACGTGATATCTTTTCCTAGAAGCTTCGTGTCATTACAAAACAACAGTAAAGAACCGGTTATTTGACGCCGCTCTGTCACGATGCTCTACAACCTGGCCTGTACACGTCACACAGGTGGCCAAGGCCCTTCACATCTGACACCTCGTTTCCATGCAGACACTTGGGTCCAGCGTGGGAAGCTTCGACGGCACACACGCACACACACACACACACACACACACACACAAAACGCACACACAAAACACACACGTACACAAAACGCGCGCGCACACAAACGCTCGGCTAACACACACACACACCGCACGCACGCACGCACGCACGCACACACACACACACACACACACACACACACACACACACACACACACACACAGTGAACATGATAACAGTGTGGTGAGGGTGGGGTGAGGTACCGGGTACAGCTTGGGGCGAGGAACTGACCGGTGTCACGTGCTTGTGTGTTTGGTTGACAAGAACCTGTGCTCTCCACTATCACCGCCTTCACCTTCACTATCACCGCCTCCACCTTCACTATCACCGCCTTCACCTTCACTATCACCGCCTCCACCTCCACTATCACCTCCTTCACCTTCACTATCACCGCCTTCACCTTCACCGCCTCCACCTCCACTATCACCGCTTCCACCTTCACTATCACCGCCTCCACCTTCACTATCACCGCCTACACCTTCACTATCACCACCTGTAAGTTGAGAACTTACAGGAGGAAGGGATTATCCACGGTGACTTAATTCAGTATACTCAAGGGGTCGACACCGTAGTTCAGGGGCGTGTAGGAGGTGGGCGTGTAGGAAAAATTGGCGCAATTGTGAAATTAGAAAAATAATTACACCAAAAAAGTCACTATGTTAAGGGGAGGGACCAGGTACATGCACCGAACGTAACCTAATCTAGGCTCCCCTAATCTAGGCTCCCCTAACCTAGCTCGCCTAACCTAGTCCTATGAATATCTAACCTTTACCTGATGGTCCGCCAGTCACACCTGACCCCTCCCCTTCATTTGGTGAAACTTCTTCTAATTTGACAGTTGTATAAATTGTTCCTCGTGCCGTAACGAGGGCCATGTTGGTACGATCAGTAGTGTGTGTGTGTGATGGTGTGTGTGTGAGATGGTGTGTGTGTGAGATGGTGTGTGTGTGAGATGGTGTGTGTGTGTGAGTGAGATGGTGTGTGTGTGTGTGAGATGGTGTGTGTTGCAGTGCCCGGCACCACCACCATGACTATGCTTCAGGTGGTCTTTAAGGTCGGTGGAGCAGTCTAGTCCACTTGACGGAGGTAACCTTGGCAGCTCCTGGTCCCGTACCATGTAAATAGCGACACCTCCGCCTGTCAGCAGTGCCTGGGGTTTCCGGAAGTCAGGCTAGCTAGACGAACGTTCGCCCACCTTCTGCCCACACTGGTGCTCGTCACAACAACACTAGAAACATCAACAGGACCTGACACTACCCACCTACAGTGCTATTGGTGGAGGAAGCTATACTCCCCATAGACCCACGTTCGCTCGCCCACCTCCCTGCCCTCTCGTTAACACCCCTGGCACCCACTCACACCACACGACCTTGTGTACTTGAGTCGTGTGACCTTATTTGTTTGATGGTTAATATGCAAGTAAAGTGTCTCTCTCTGTGATGATGAATATAAATAGTAATAGACGCCTTGTGACCCCGATTGATGGTAGAAACGATGACATCTGGGAAGGTAATGTTTGTAGACACACACACACACACACACACACACACTGATTTATTCAACCAAATCATCGTACATATCTCCAATTGATTCAACATGTATATAGACAATGTAGGTACACAGTTGAACATGCATATTGCACAACACAGGTATACAGTGTACATAGACAATGGTTAAATAGTAAGGCAATTCGACCAAGGATAACCAACAAAGCCACCAGGCACTTATTTCCAGTAGGGAGGAGGGGGGACCTTTGCTGTTGCTTCCTCCTCGGAGTTTGACTTACAGTGTGAACTATGAATACGACTATTGCGTAAAGGAAATTATATTAATAAAAGCTAAACTACATAAAATTAAATAAAAAACTACATCACAAAGTACTTACAATAATAACATCTTTTAAAACACACAGAAGGTCTATATTTTCCTCATACAAATTAACACTGTGTCACTGTAAATATGGAGACAACTTTTAATGTCCGACTCCGTTATATGTTTTCTTAAGTGAATAAAAAAAAAACTTTGAAACTCACACAAAGTAATTTCAATCATCTACTGACATTTACACCTGTGCTAGTTACCTAATTGTTGTGCTGGTATTGTTGCTGTGCTGGTATTGTTGGTGTGCTGGTATTGTTGGTGTGCTGGTATTGTTGGTGTGCTGGTATTGTTGGTGTGCTGGTATTGTTGTTGTGCTGGTATTGTTGGTGTGCTGGTATTGTTGGTGTGCTGGTATTGTTGGTGTGCTGGTATTGTTGGTGTGCTGGTATTGTTGGTGTGCTGGTATTGTTGCTGTGCTGGTATTGTTGCTGTGCTGGTATTTTTCTGTTGCTGTGCTTGTATTGCTGCTGTGCTGGTATTGTTGCTGTGCTGGCATTGTTGCTGCGCTGGTATTGTTGCTGTGCTGGCATTGTTGCTGTGCTGGTATTGTTGCTGTGCTGTATTGCTGCTGTGCTGGTATTGTTGTTGTGCTGGTATTGTTGCTGTGCTGGTATTGTTGCTGTGCTGGTATTGTTGCTGTGCTGGTATTGTTATAGATAAACTTTCCGAACTTGCCACAAAGCGCCACGTCATTGCCCAAATGTCATTGGGAGGGTGGGGGTGGGGGGGTTGAAATGGTCATTGAGGTGGGGGTGGGGGTTGAATGGTCATTGAGGTGGGGTGGGGGGGTTGAGGGCTACTGAGGTGGGGTGGGGGGGTTGAATGGTCATTGAGGTGGGGGTGGGGTTGAGTATTGGAGGTGGGGGTGGGGGGGCTGCCGTCACAGAAACAACCTTGCGTAATGTAGGTTGACTGAGGGAGGAAGGGAAGTATGGTACTGCTGGTGTGTATGTTAGATGTGCCCCTTCCACCTCCCCCCTTCCCTCCCTCACACCCTCCTTCTCTCCTCCCTCCTTTCCTTTCCCTCCCTTCTCCCCTTCCTCTCTGAATATTGTCCTGTTTACCCATGATAGCCTAAGCTAACCTAACCAAACCTAACTAACCTGACCCAATCGAGAGGCGACGGTTGGGCTGACCAAACGCAACTTGAAACGAACATGATTCTCTCTCTCTCTCTCTCTCTCTCTCTCTCTCCATCCGCTGTAAATGACTTTGTAATAATATCTGTTTCCTCAGTTCCAAAATTAAAGGTACCGTGAAAACTTTCTACTCCCCCTCCCCCTGCTTCAATTCTTTTGGGTTAGGTCATGGCCAGATTTTCTTTGTGCAAAGTTCTGCATCACCGCTTGGTAAGCACACAGCTGACCCCATGGTATTACTGAAGCATTGGTCGTGTACCTGCCTTGAGCAGCCTGTCTGTTGCACAAGGTTTATGGCGTTAGTTTATGCACTTAACAATTCTCTTTCAAGGGAACTTCGAAATGGTGATGAATAATGTATAGCACGTGTGGTGGGGGCGTGTTGTGTGTACTCGTAGAGTGTCCCAATACTGTCGAGAGAGAGAGAGAGAGAGAGAGAGAGAGAGAGAGAGAGAGAGAGAGAGAGAGAGAGAGAGAGAGATTCCCCCCTACGTGACCCGTAAGAGCCAGCTTCCCTTTAAGATAGATAGAGAGGAAAATTGGATTAGATCATGTAGGAGCTAGTATCCCATCCACACATGGCACATATCTCCACGGCCAGGTGTGTGGGCAGGGGGTCTTAGGCCAGGTGTAGAGGTAGGCGGTCGTGGGCCAGGTGTGGAGGTGTAGGGAGTTGTGGGCCAGGTGTAGAGGCAGGGGTCTGGGCCAGGTGTAGAGGTAGGCGGTCGGGCCAGGTGTGGAGGTGTAGGGAGTTGGGGCCAGGTGTGTGGGCAGGGGGTCTTAGGCCAGGTGTAGAGGTAGGCGGTCGTGGGCCAGGTGTGGAGGTGTAGGGAGTTGTGGGCCAGGTGTAGAGGCAGGGGACCGGAAACCACTTTAGTAATGGGGTGTTGTTAGTGTAAATATGCTGACGTAACTTTACTGTTGTGTAGTGTTTGTCGGTCGAGATAAGCCAGTATTGCTTACCTGTGCTACTTACCTCAAGTGATTACACAAGGAAACACACCTGAGAGTAAATATGGTGAGTGTGTGGTGGTGAAGGTGTTGGTGTGTGAGTAATGGTGATGTGTCAGGACGTCGAGGGTGATGATGAATTAGTGTTGGAGAAGGTGTGGTGGTGGTGGAGGAAGAGAGGGGGTATGAGCCATCCTACCCGTCCACCACCATCACTGGTTCACCTCGGACACACACACACACACGGCTGGTCACACAGGTCCAAGCGCACTGTGTGTGAAATGGCACAACACTTCATCTCTAATGGCAAGATAGCCGACATATTAAGATTGTATCCACTTTTTTGCACTTATTAACTACAGTATAGCAGTTCTCATGTATAGAACCAACTACACAATGTGCTTCAATACTTCTCACGCAAATGTGAATAATAAAGTGTGAGACCAGACATACTGCCTCACACGCCTGTACTCACGCAGTTGTGAATAAGTTACCCTTTATGTATAGAACTAAACAAATAATGTAATTGAAATACTGTGTAACATTCAGTGCCATAATATCCTGACCACGGGAGTTAATTATTATGACCCGTTGTAAACTCTACTCTGTAATCCTTTTGCGCTACCGTTCACAGGATGAGTGTGGGGTGCACAATAAAGTAGCAGCTGTAAGCGGCAAAATCAAACAAAGTCAATGGTCACACACCCCGGGGTACGGAAACATGTCGCCCGAGCACCAGGAAGCAGACCACTTCATCTCCCGTTACTTTTTTACCTACGATGCTGAAAAACTGCGATCACTCCTCTCTGGGA